TACGTTGCTGGCCTCTCAGAGGCTGCACCCTCATCTGTACAATGTGAACAGACACACCTGTCTCACAGTGTTTTTGGTGGATTGAGTGAGAACATGCACGTAGAGTGCCTAGTGCTGTGTCTGCTCTTGTGTTGTCAAAATAGGTTTCTTTCCCATAATTTGTGTTTTGCTAAGAATCTCCCTGACCTGGGTCTTTGCCCCTGCTAAGTGACCTCCCTGCCTGCTCTCACTTGAGTCACCCTTCTTGGCTCTCAAACACATTTGCGAGCTGGGGTGAGTGGAGGGGCTGCCTTCCACGCGCAGTGTGCAGCTACAGCCCTGCGTGGCTGTATGACCAGCCACGAGGTGGGAGGATTGGTTCTCTGGTGTTTTCTGGACAAGGCTTGCGCTCAGTTCACAAATGGTGAGCTAGGAACTATGAAATCTGATTTTCTCCAATCAGCACAGAGCACACAGCAACCTTGTAGCACTTAGGAAATTAGTTCTGGAATATGAAACAGTGAGGCAATGATGGTATTTCTTTGCTTAAAAGTGGAACCCTGTAGGCAGTTGATTATCTCATCACAGGACCCCTAGAAAGTATTTTTATTTAAGTTGATATTCCCCTGTTCCATGGTTAAAATCACAGAGTCTCAATTTAGATTTGATAGGCTAGGAGTCAGCACACATTTCCTATAGAGGGCCAGAGAATAAACATTTTAAGCTTTGTAAACCACGGAGTCTTCATTCAGCTCTGCTATTGGAGTGTGAAAGCAGCCTCAGACAGTGTTAACGGTTGTGAGTGTGGCTGTTCCAATGAAATTTTATTTACAAAAACAGGTGGCAGGCTGAATGTGGCCTGTGGGCCATAGCTTGCCAACCCCAGCCTGACATTTGAGAGGCAGCTGAGCATAATGGGTCAGAGCCTAACCCTAGACTTGGGTTAGTAGTGGTGACCCCGGCTCTGCTCTCTCCTGGCTCTGGACTTGGGCAAGTCACTGAGGAGCAGGCATAGCTGCTCTCTGGGGTCTCGTGAGAGGGCAGGGAGACGATGTCTAAGCCCGTGGCGCGGGGCCAGGCACATGTGAACACCAGCTGCTGCTCCATCACTTGTTGCCCCCTTATGTCGCCACCAGTCTTTGCATGGGAGGGGCTGTTGGGAACGATTTTGGGCGGCACTTGGAAAAGCTAAAGCTGTTGGAAACTTATTTGCTTGTTTATTTTTCAAGCCTAAATGCAAAAAAATATGTGTGGCCTTCTGGAGCCCCTGAGAAGGTCACCCTTGTTGCCTAGTGCTGTGGCTTTCACAGCTGAGTAGGTAAACAATGCAACTGAGTGGAACCAGTTAGACAAGTCAAGCCAAAAAATAAAGATAAGGTTAAATATCGACTTCATTAGACTTAGCTTGTTTTGCAGCTTTTATAACAAAGACCAAGCTAGTTGTTGGGGAAGGACGTGACTAGCAACTCCCACTTATTCAAGGACTTGCAGTTCATTCTTCAGCAAAGCTATTAACCAACGTCTCTTGTGTGCCTGGTGTTGGGCTCTGCCTTATAGGCAGCAGCTGGGGAGGCAGAGCAGATACACTTCTCACCATGCGGAAGCTCACGGCCTAGTGAAGGACAGCAGTGCATGCAGGGCTGTGGCTTGGCTGTGCCAAACCCGCCAATATTCCAGCCCTCTCCTCCCCCAGCCCTGCTCTCTACTGCAGTCGGGATAGGTTCCACTGCTTCCCTACACCCTCATTCTGAATTCTTTTGTCCATTCATTCACTTAAAAAGTGTTTGAATGTGTAATACGTTCCAGCAAATAAGACAAAGTCCCTCTGGTGTAACTGAAGAAACACACAGGTATTCACCAAATAGGGCTGTGAGGGCCAGGGAAATAGCTCCGTGAGAACTAATGCCTTGAAAAGTGACCTCGACAGGGTTTCCATGGTGTGTGAGTGTGTGCGTCTGTGTACATCCAGATCGGTTGTCTTGTATAGAGTTGGGGACCAACTACACATACATACTGCTCTTTCCTCTCAGTCCACACTGTTTTTTTCCCGTTTTGATGATTCCTTGCACAATTCCAGTATACCCAGTTTGACTTAAGTATATAAGCACACACACGGAGTTTATTTACATCAAGAACAGCTGGAGTCCTCCCCACACTGAGAGAGAGCCCTTTCATTTCATCATCTCAGCCTTGTGCCACAATACAAATTTTGTTGCATAATTTTACCTTTTCTCTTAAAGAGTTTTTCTTCTCCCCCAAACTTTTTATTTCAACTGTCTCAAGTTTGAAATTTCAACTGTACCAAGTTTGAAAGAATGAACCTAAGTGAATACCTGCCTGGAGTTTGAAAGAATGAACCTAAGTGAATACCTGCCTGGAGTCACCAGGTGTTGACATTTTGCTTCACTTGCTGCCTCTCACTATAGTGCAGTCTTTGATTTCTCTAAACCATTTGCGAATTGTGGACATCGTAACACTCCACCTTGAGTGTTTTAGCATGTACCTCCTAGGAACAAGTAGGTTCCCTTTTTAGTTCATAAAACCCTTTTCAAAGACATGTAATATTGCTACTAGTATGTAATGTCATTTAGTATTTAGTCTATTGAATTTTTATAAAAGTCAAAACCGCCCTTCATGCCTGATTGTTTTTAAGCCATGAACCAATCAAGGAGCCTGTATCGTATTTAGTTCTCATATTGCTAAATTCCCTTAATCTAGAACAGTCACTACTTTTTTTTTTTTTTTACTGTCATAACATTAACAGTTTTGAAAGAATTTGTGTCAACTGTCTTGTAGTTATCTGATGATTTCCTTGCCGTCTGTTCCAGGTTAAACGTTTCAGCAGGAATACAACATGGGTGGTGCTCTTCCCATTAAGTCACAATCATGAGTACAATTTTTGTCTTGTTATTGGTGGTGCTGACTTTGATCATTTGTTGTGGGTGGTATCTGTCTGGCCTCCCCAGTTAAGGCTGTCTACCACTCCACCTTCATCCCATGTAAATAATAAGTCTTGACAAATGCATGTGGCTGTTATTCCCACCTGATCAAGATGACCCTTCCATCCCTACAGAATGGTTCCTTTGGCGCCTTCCTACTCATCCTCCCCGCCCCACAAGTAGTGCTGATCTGATTTCTTCATTATTCAATTTGGTGTTTGAATTTTCCAAATGCTGGCAGCGAGAGCCTCATCTAGTTGGCTCTGTGTCCCTTTGATGTGTTCCTCTCAATCTTTGAGCACTTTCTTGCTTTCTGGCACAAGAAGATGTTTTGTATTTTTCATTTTAAGAGGAAAACATCCCATGGTATAGATACTAGTTAAATAATTTCTCCATTGGTGGGCTTTTATGTTGTTTTGTTTATTATCTGGTTAAAAAAAATGCCACAGCGAACATCTTGGAACACCTTTTTTTGTACTACTTCCGTGAATATTTTTATAGGCTAGAGCCTATGAAAAGTGGTATTTCTAGGTAAGAGAGTATGCAGTTAAGGTTTTAATTGTTGTGGCAGGCTTCTTATCTCCCCTCTTAAAAAGTTAGGTCTCCACAGCGATGCTGGTCACTCTGTAGCCTTACCAGCATTGACGCTTCATTGTCTGTATGGACAGAGTGGACAGAATTTGACTTTGATCTTCTTCTGGAGCAAGGTGAACATCCAAACCATAGATCCTCCTTTTTGGCTCTAAGACAGTTTTGATTTGTATAAAAATGAAAACTTTCCTCAAAGGAGAGATTAGACCCAAGGAGAAATCTTTGCTATTTTCTGTCATTCAGTGTCACATTCACCACCATAGACAGTTCTCGGCAGAGAGTGTTCTTGCTGCTTTTATTCTACTTTAGCTGAATGTGGAAGATAGGTGAGGTGGGGAAAGGAGAGGATGACATTGCCCCAGGGCTTCTGGTTCTCTTGAGCAGTCTATAATACAGTGTTCTGTATTTCTATCCCTAAATAGTGTTGGAACGGATTTTTATTTTTTGATGAACCTTGCTACATCTATATTTGGAGTAACAGGTTTGTCATTGTGTGTGTATATGTGTGCATGTGTGTGCGTGTGTGTGTGTGATAATTCTCTGAGGTCAGCTAGTCAAAAAAGTCTGTTTCTGCTTTAATTAAAAATTTGGACCTGGGCCCTCCCTGGTGGCACAGTGGGTTAGAGTGCAGCACTGTGAAGCTGGCTGCGGCCACTTTAGTGCAAGTTCGATCCCCGCCCCTGAGGAGACTCACCCGTATGGTGCTGCAGACCACTCCTGTTTTGCCCACTGCTCCTTACAGCATTGTACCTCATTGAGCTGCCTGTTCTGCTCCCCACTCTGTCTCTGGTGAATCCTCTCACCACCCCTGTACCTCTGGCCTGTACCCCAGTTCTGTATGCATAAATAAATAAATTTGAACCTGAGGTTAAACACCTTTGTGGGTGAACTGTTTTCTT